GAGGAAGATGCGTGTTTGAGGACGGGGGACAGGAAGAAGGAAGTGAAGTGGCTGCAGCGAACCTCCACGCTGCGACGTTCTGTCGCAGAGCGCCCTTGGGCACCTCTTTGGGGTTGCTTGGGACTCCCCCCAGCCCAGACAAGGGGGGCACTGGGGATGCCCCCCAGGGCCTTCTCCAGAGCATCATCTCCTCGTGGCCCAAGGGAAAGGGACCTCTTGGGGCACACGCATCCCTCGTGCCCCCTCAGCCTGGGCTCCTCAGCGAAGTCCAGCTGAGCAGAAGGCACCACCCTGGTGGCTGTGGGAAACCGCCAGGGAGAGGGCAGGGAAGAGCCCGCTCTGCCTGCATGAGCGTGGCAAGCCCTCCCATCCAGTGTCGGCGGGCTGCTTTTGCTGCCTCGGGCCAGTCCACGCAGACATGCAGCACTTCCTCCGGCCGGTGTCCTTGGCACTCGGGGCAGCCGCCTGCAGGGGCTGTGCCCTTGCAGCTGCATTCCCTGCCAGTATTCGGGCGCAGGGGCTCCCAGGAGCATCCCCAAACCCCCGCCAGCACTGGAAAGGAGCTGCCAATGGCCCCCTCGCCAGGCCCCTCCCAAGCCTGGAGGTGGCCGGTCCCGGGGATCAGTGTATCAAGGACAGGACAGAAGCCTGCGGAGTCCCCGCACCGCCTGTTCGTGGCAGGCCAGCCTCCCACTCCCCAAGCCCTCGTGCACACTCGCCTGTTCTTGACGATCCAATAGTCCAGGTCGTCTTCGGTGCTGCCGTACCCAACCAGAAGCACGGCATGGTTCACTGACTCGCCACACCCCTGCAGGTAGAAGATCCCTGGAGGGAGGGCAAGGGGGGGCGGGGGCTCAGGAAAGCATGCAGAGAAGAGGACGGCTTGTGGCCCAGCGGCGTGGCGCACGTGCCCCGGTGCAGTCCCCCGACACTCGCGGCAACGCCGGGGAAACCGGCTGCCTGCGGTCCCGGAGTGCGGGACTGGCGTGGCCCGGGGTGGACCCGGAGCGATGGGCACCTCTTCCAGGTTCTCTTCCAGGGCAGCTCTTGGCGGCCACACACCAGGCCTGCCCGGCTCATCCGCGTTTTGTGCCTGGCCACGGGGTAGCTTTGGTGCCGCCCAGGGGCCTCCTCGCTTCCCCAGGGCGTCTGCAGCTGAGCCTTGCTCGCCCCTCTCGACCGAGGTGTGTTTGCGTGTGCGCTTCCGGACAAGCACCTTTGCCCACCATTTCCCTCGGCATCTCCCTGCCTGTTTTCTCACCCTGCTCAAAAGTCTCTAGGGAAGCAGGGCTGCAATAGCCATTCCCTCTCCTTAGAGTGGCAGAGCTGGGAGGTGGCCACGTGGAAGCAGCCGGCTCTGGGACGGTCAGCACCCTCCTCCGTCCCCCAAGGCCCTCTCACCTGACCGGTAGAACTGCATTTCCATGCTTGAGGCATCAATTCCAACGGACACTGGACCAAGGAGTCCCACTGCTTCCTGCAATATTTCTGTCTTTCCCTCTGGAATTGTGAGAAAGCCGGTACACGCAGCCGCAACTGTACTATCATTGAAAAGGCACCTTTCATCCTGCAAGTTTGGGAGGCAAGGAGATCAATCACATCTTTCCAGTTTATAACGTGGCTAAAACAAACAAACCAAAAACCTCTCAGTGCAGAAGAACATCCAGGTATACAGGCCTAGGGATGGAGCTGCCAAGTCCTCCAATAAAAACTTCTGTAACTTTGGGTATCTGAGAGAGATTCATGTTGAGGAATGGCTACAAACAGTGGGCTGGCTGGGTGGCAGAGCTACTGGGGGGGACGCTCCTATTGCTCCTCAACCTTCTGGAGTATTGTGCACAACCTGGAGTGTTGTGCTCGGTTTTGGGCCCCTCATTACAGGAAGGATTAGCCAGCTTGGAGTCAGGGCAGCGCAGGGCCACATTTCCAGACAGTCAGGACCCCGAGGGTGTGGAATGGGCTTCCACGGGAGGTGGTTGAGGCCCCATCGGTGCGGGTGTTCAAGGACAGGCTGGACGTGCACATGGTGGGCATGTCGTGAGTGGAGCTGGCTGGAGCTGGGGGTCCGACTAGATGGCCTGGGAGGCCCCTTCTGACTCGCTCTGTTTCTGTGTTTCTCTCGTTAAGGTTAAACTTGCCAGGTTCTTTGATCTCTCTTCACTAGACGTTGTTTCCAGCCCCCACCCCCCCAGTCATCAAATCCTGTCAGTTTGACAAACTGGAAAAATACACCTGTTGGAAAATGGCTACCAAAGGAGCAAGGTGGGACAGCTGTCCCCAGCATCAGAGGTGGCACACCTGTGAGGCCCACCTGCTGAAGAATATGCTGCTGTATTCATGCAGGGCTCCCAGGCACTTCACAGGGTGTGGTTCCCTCCGCCTGTTTTAGGAGATGTTAGAAACAGAGCGAGTCAGAAGGGGCCTCCTGGGCCATGTAGTCTGACCCCCGGCTCCACTCATGACAAGCCCACCACGTGCATGTCCAGCCTATCCTTGAACCCCTGCACCGATGGGGCCTCAACCACCTCTCGTGGAAGCCCATTCCGCACCCTCGGGGTCCTAACCATCAGGAAGTGCTTCCTGGCATCTAAATGCAACCTGGGTTCCCGGAGCTTGGCTCTGCTGGAGCGCGTTCTGCCTTCCTCTGCAGGGGAGAGCAGGTCTCTGCCCACCTCCGTGTGACACCCCCTCACACACCTGCATGTCGCCAACAGAGCCCCTCTGAGTCTCCTCCCCTCCAGGCTGAAGAGGCCCAGTTCCCTCCATCTCGCCTCATACCCCATCCCCTGCAAACCGGCCACCAGCCTTGTGGCCCTGCGCTGCACTAACTCTAACCTGGCTATATCCTTCCTGTAATGAGGGGCCCAGAACTGAGCACAATACTCCAGTTGCGGACGCACCAGAGTCGTGTAGAGTGGCAGTAGCACCCCTCTGGCTCCAGAAGCCACGCTTCTGGCTGTGCAACAAGGGTGGCGTTTGCCCTCTCGGCTGCCGCGTCACATGCTGGCTCCTGTTCAGCCTGTTGTCTCAGCAGGGAACAGAAGGCAAGGTAAGGCGACTCTATGCTAGCAGGACCAGCAATGCAAGGAAGGGGAGCAAGGAATGCCCCATGCCCACACAGAGGAAAGGAGTAGGAGCCTGGAGGAAAGCATTTTGGCCCAAGAAACAAAATGAGCCAATATTCTGGGCCACAGTGACTGCAGGACTGAGGGACACACTGAGCCCATGCATAGATTACCTTTTCCTGGTAGGGGTAGGCCTTTTCTGAGTCAATGCCCTGGTTGTTCATCACGTACGCAAAAGCGTTTGTTGGGTTTCCACCATTACATCCCTTGTTGCCGTACGTCCAGGCGCAGTCAACGAGGTTCTGCTCGCTCAGACCAACCAGCTTGCCATCTGTCTTGTAATGCAAGCCCTCCAAGGCCCCGACAGCACTGAATGCCCAGCAAGAGCCGCAGCTGCCCTGTGGAAACAGAGAAGCTCTTGGAGCCCTCGGCCACGTAGGTCCGGCATCAGGCTCCACCCCCTCTCTTTGCAGCCGACAAAGTGCTCCAGGTCTGCCAGTGCAGGGTCCCCGACAAGCCCGCGCCTGCTGCGCAGCCTCCGCCGGCTCTTCCTCCTCCCGACACCCCATCCCGGTGTCCCGGCCCCTGGCGTGGGCAGGCTGACCTTTGGGCTAGAGAATTCTTGTTCTCACCGTTCCAGGAAATCTATTACCGTGAATGTAGTTACCATCCCTCTAATTCTATATAATTTCATAAATGATCACCCTGGAAATCAAGGAATGGACTTATGTAGGAATAATTGCGTGACATTTCAGAATGCTCAGGCCCATTAACAGAATGTCACTCGCTTGAGTCTGATCAGTGCCTGTGCAATTTGAACAAGAAACGTAACTGGGTAGAGAAACGGAACAAAACAGCCTTCCAAGCGACGTGGGCAGGAACGTCCCCTCTCGCCGTCCCCGTAATTCGCCACTCACCTGGTTTTTCACGGGGGTGACATAGCCTTCCTCACGCCAGTCCACAGAGCTGGGAACCTGCGCATCGGGCAGCCCGTTGAAAACAGTTCCCTGGCCACTGGATCGCCTCCCCAGTTCGGGACGCAAGCCGTTGAGCTTGTTGAACTCCTCGTTAGTCTGCGGTGCAGGACGGAGAGACGCATCAGGCCCCTGCGCCCACGGTGTCCCCCGAGCTGCCCGGCCAGGCTGCCCGAGGCTCGACTCAGCTTCCCCAGACGAGCCACAAGCCCTGTGCTGCCGGCCTCCCTCCCCGTGGGCATCTGAGGGTTCCTGGCGGGGCCCAGCACAGAAGGGAGACCGGCAGGAGGCAGACCATCCCACTCCTGGGGCACTCTCGCTCCCAGGGAGGCGGAGGAGGAGGACCCCGGCTCACACGGGAGGCCGCTCAGGGGAATCTGTTTCATCCCATGGGAGCGTCTCTCTCTCTCTCTCTCTCTCTCTCTCTCTCTCTCTCTCTCTCTCTCTCTCACACACACACACACACACACACACACACACACACACACAGGGCTTCCAGGATGACAGCAGGAGATGAAGGACAATCTGGAAGTGGCAGGCTGGCGAAGGATCCCGGTGCTCGGACCCCTCAGTGCAAGCACAGGGATCCACTGCGGGGGATCCACTGCGCGCTTGCTTTCATCAAGGACTGGCTCCTTCAGCACATGAACCAGATGCTCCGCTGCTGAGCTCTGGCCCTCCGTCTCCAGATGAGAGAAGGTCCCAGTCCTCAGCGTGCTGAGCACGGGGCCAGGAGAACCCGCCTTCTGCCAAATGAGAGCCCTGCTCCCGCTGGCTCAGGGCTCCGGACTCAGGAGCGGATACAATCCTGCAGGGTTCAGAGTAAAGTCCCTCCTTTGCGGTGAGCTGGAGAAGCTTGCCTAACCACTGAGCCACACAGCCCCTCCATGTCGCAGCCCCCGGAAGGGAGAGTCCTGCTGCCCCGCAGCTACACAGAGCGTGCAGAGGGGAAGGTGGGGCCTCCCTGCAACGCGGATGCGGCAGGAGCAGGCCACACGGACCTGCGGGGGAACCACATGCCTGGCGCCCGTGCGTGCGGCCGGGGGCGGGGGGGACCGAAGGACCGGCCCGCGGGGCTCACCCAGTCGCCAAAGTGGTTCATGCCCAGCTCGAAGGAGTGCTTGCCCAGCGCCGCCTCCCGGTTGTGCCGCTCGATCATCCGCAGGTTCTTCTCCCAGATGCCCCTCCGGACGGCCTCCTCGCCCTGCGGGGAAGCGCGCAGCTCAGCAGGCTGGACTGAGCGCGCGGGAGCCGGGGGCCAGCTCAAGCAGGGGCCCCCGAGCCAGGACTGGCTGCCCCCGGAGCAGACTTCTTCCGGCTGAACGCAAGAGCGCCCCTGAGCATGCACCCTGATCCGGGTGGCCGGGAAAAGCCCCCTCTGAGCAGACGTGAACCGCAAGCCGGGCAGCGCGGGCCCCGCAAGGGAGGCGCGCCCTGAACCCGGCTGCCCTGAGAGGCCACTGGGGAGCTTCACACGCCGGCCCCGGAGGCCAGAGGTGTGGGGGCAGAGAAGCGCGGGCGTGCACTGGGCCGCGACCCCCACTGGCCTTGGCCCAAACCACCTGGAATTTCCTGGCCGGACCAGCGGATCGGGGTCCTGGGCTCACACGGGGTCCCGGGACGCGGTCCGGAACATGGCCCGGCTGGGCCTGCGGAGGCACCCTTGGGACGCCCCGATGGCAGCGGGGAAGGTGCTGGCGGAGGGAAGGGCCAGCCGGCCCCACGGCAGTGGCTTTGACGCGCGGGAAGATAGGGGAAGGCATCTCTGCGCCTCGGGAGGCCGGCGGCTCTCCCCCGGACGGAGGGCTGCGGGGAGGGCGCTGGCTGCCGCACGGCCTCCTGGGGCCACTGCCAGCCCCCCCGGGCTGCTCTCCCTCTCGGACAAGCGTGGCCGAAGCGGGGGTCCCCCTGCAGGGTGGCCAGCAGAGCCGCGACTGCCCCTTTGAGTGCTGCGGAGTCCGGAAGGAAAGGGGCGCGGGGTCCTTCGGGGCCAGCCCAGGCGGCCGGATCCCAGGCCCTTCTTCATGCTGGCTGCGGAGCATGGGAGCTGCATGCCCAGCCTTCCGGAGGGCCCCGATGGGCTCTCCCTTCCCACCTTGCCTTGCAGCTCAAGTGGCGCCAGCCTCCCCCGCCTGAGCAGTTGCTCCTTTGCTGCGGGAGAAACGCCGCGTCTTGCCGCTCGATGGCCACGGAAAGGCCGCCCGTTGTGTCGGCACAAGGCAGGCACTGTGCGCCCGGGCCTCCTCCGGAGGCCGCCCCGGGTCCTGAGCGGCCCGGAGGCCCTCGGCTCCCTCGCGCGACTTACCTCCGCGTACTCCTTCCCATGCGTAGCCTTCCAGGCTCTCCAGGTCTCCTCCAGCGGCCGCACCAGCACGGCGGAGAGGGTCCCCTGCGACAGCAGCCAGGCCACCGCCACCAGCGAGCTCGGGAGCACCATCTGCAGCCGGGGGAGAGCAGGCCTGTCCCGCTCAGCCGGGGCGCTGGCACGGGTGGGGTGCCCACGGGACTGAGGGGGCACGGCCCACGCACGGGTCCGGGGGACCCGAGCACCCCGCAGCAGAGCCTGCCCGGCGCTGGCCTCCCCTTCCTCCCACCCCCCCTTGCTCCACAACACCGAAGCTGGCATCAGCTCCGCCTGTTGGCCAGCCTGGAGGCTCACGCTGCGCCCGGTCAATACCAGTGCTCGTCCCTTGGTTGGAATCCCACGGCGCCCATCTGCCACACTTCCCGGGAAGTTTACAGTACTGGAGAAGTATATCATGCCATTGTTGGCCTTTGAGGAAATTCCGCATGCTCCCCCTGCACCCGCCCTGCCATGGGACCCCCAAGTACCCATATCTAGGCAGCACCTGCTTCAGCAGAAAACCCTTTTTCATGTAATTAGGGTGGCAACGGGGAAAGGGGCCTTTTGGTGGGGGTCCCAACCTCAGGAATGCTCTCCGTGGGGAGCTCCCCTGGTAACCAAGCCGGTGCTCTGGCAGCTGTGGTAACACCTTGTGTCCTGGGAACTCTGTCGTTTTCGGGCACGGCTGGGGGAACTAATCCTTATGACGTTTTGAACGTTTCTTGCCAGATTCGACCCCTGCATAAGGCTGTTCTTTTTGCTCAGAGGGTCAAATCAGGCAAATGAAAAGCTGTCCTGCTTGGAAGTTGCACAGAAGAGCTACAGGTTTGTGGAAATGTCTAAGCTGGGGAGAATTTTGCCCATGGCACTCATGTGTAGGTGATTTAAAGGTTGCACAGCTTGCTAAAGCAGGGCTGTTCCCGACGGGGTGATTAAAAAAATAAATAAGACCTGCCTTTTGAGCAATTTGCATCTTTCAAAGAATCTGTTCTTTCTGAGGGAGCGCTTTGCAGTGAATCTTCGTTCCAGAAAGCTGCCCCTGTTCTATGGCTGGTGCATCTGATATAGTTGCACATCTTGGGAAAGTTTTTTTCATCTCGAGAAAACGGCAGCGTTTGAGAAAGTTGGGGATCTCGCAAGTGCACGGCCTATGAACGTGCATGCAAGTTTGTGAGTGTTTAAGTCGGGCAGTTTCAAACCCTTTCCAAATGGAAGGGACTTTTCTGTCTTCGCTAAATTGTGATGCCTCAGCTGGGATTTCATGCGGAGGGACGGAAATTCCTCGGCTGTAAAATTCTGCTCAGCGTGCCTGAACGCTTTAAATGTGGGCGCTGCGCTGGGCTTACCTCTCTTTCCTGATGAAGGGTTTGGGGAAAGCTCCTCACGTCTGCCCACACGCCTCAGTGCTGACCGGGGACTCACAGCACCTTTTATGGAGAGGGTCTCCCACCATCCAGCTGCCAACAATCTGTGCAAACATCTGTCAGATGTGGACTTCCTGGGCAACGTAAAACCACAGATTGCCAAAAATAGCAGAGCCCCTTTGCAGCCTCCATGCGCAGATCACACGAAGAGAAACGTACAAAGGCGGACACGCAATGGAAGCTGGAAAGGACCATCAATTACGTGGCGTGAACCACACACCCCCGCCCCTCGTGCTTGCGAGGGAGGATGGACGGCCGTTGCAAGGCAAGCGCACAGGCAGCGGGGGAGAAGGGTCCACACTGGAGCGGGAAGGGCTGTTTTCGCGGGACAGGCGCCCCCCCCCCCCCAAGGGATTTGGACACCCTTTGTCTGCAGTGGGCTGCTATGGGTCCCGAAGCTCTTGGCGAATGGACAACGGGCAGAATGAACCGGCACGTGGACTCCCCAGCGCAGCAGGTGTGGAGGGTGCATGGATTCGGCGGCGTTCTGCCGAGGCTCCCCGGCACACAGCCGTTGCGGCAAAGCCTGCATTTGGCGCTCAGCGTCGGCACAGAGCGACTTGGCCTCGCTGGCACTGCCGCAGCGTGTGGGCCATTCCAGCCCACACGCCCGCACTGTGCCGCGCGGCCCCCAGTTCATTCCCCTGCAAACGGCACACGTGCAAAGCAAGACGGAAACCGAGAGGCAAAGGCAGGCAAGGGGGGCCCCCGGAGGGTCGCCACGGCTTGCACTCCATGGGGCACGGAGGTCCATCAGCTCCGGCCCGCAGCCTCCGTGCATAGCTGTGTGCAGTGGCATCCCAGGCCACTGCTCTCCCGGGGGAACATGGGCCTCGTGGATGGACGGCGATGCGACTCTGCGGGGGTGAAGGGCCTCTGTGCGGAGGCTGAACCTGGGCTTCCGGGAGTGCCCTTCCCCTGAGCGTGCAGCAGTTTCCCAGGGTCTGCGGCCTTCTCCCGTTCAGAAGGGTGCCGAGGCCTGGTCTGGCTTTGTGCTTGCAGACTGAGCATCAAGGGAGGGTTGCAGCACGTGGCCCATGCATTCCTTGCCTCACCCACCTCTGGAACCTGGCCCCCAAGAGTGTCTCAGCAATTAACTCCATTCCGGGGGGCGGAAGTGCCCCCCAGCCCACCAGGACCCCCAGCAGGCATCCAATGTAGCCCCGGGCCTGCCAGGGCCCTTCCGAGGCCCCGCGCCAGTGGTCCGGGAGAGTCATGCGAGTCCTTCCCTGCAGACATTGAGAAGACTGGGGGGGCTTTGCTGGATCAGGCAATGCGTCCCCCACCCTGGCCTTCTGCGCCCACGGGGGCCATGCTGGCGCCTCAGGGAGGCTCAGGAGCAGGATGAGAGTGCATCGCACCCTTGTGCCCATGTTCCCCAGCTACAGGCATGCGCGGCCTCTGGTGCCGGAGGAAGCAGAGGGCCTGGCCACCATGGGTAGGAGCAGGGAGGGGAGGGGAGGGGAGGGGAAGGGGCACAAAGACCTTCCTTTTTAGCTCTGCCTCTCTGGCTTCTTCCCCCTTAGAGAGAGAGAGAGAGAGAAGGTGGGTTCCCAGGATGCCTTCAGCCCTGTGTAGCCATGGAGTCACGCTGAGCTTAAGGGGAGGCCGACACGGCCTCCATCCAACCGCAGCAGAACAAGGTCCCCAGGAGAATGACCAAGACTCTCTCTGAGCCTTCCTGCTCTTTGGGGTCTCCCCAATCCCTTGCTCCCCCTCCAGCTTCACACGGCTTGGAGCAAGCCCAGTTCTCCCTCAAAGCCTGGCTTAACCTCCCCACCTGCTCCCAGGTTGGACAGAATGGGAAACTCTGCCTGATGGAGCCCATTATGGTGAACTCGATTGCTCAGACGAAGGCAGGCCGGAGGGGGCCGCGTGTGTGACCGGACTGCATATTCTGATCTCAGGTTATTACGCCCAGAGGCAGTCCTCGAAACGCTTGTTCTGCGCACACTCGCACTGACGTGTGTGGCTCTCTAGCAGTGGCGGCTAACGAAGTCTGGGGGAAGGAGAACCTGCTGCCATGTGGCCTCTGCTGCGTGGGGGAGCAGCACTGCCACGAGGGGAGGACGTGGGCATCCTTCGTCCTGGAGGCCCTGTGGCAGGAGTCGTCCCCAAGCTTGCCTCGCATCGGCACGACCGGCCAGCCGGCCCTCCCCTCAGGCGACCCTTCCAGATCGTGGATCTGCCAAACACACAGCCCCACTCGTGTCTTGGCCCCTGTGGAAGCGGGAGCGGCCCAGCCCTGCAAGCAGTTGGGGGCAGAGCTGCCCTGGGCCCCCACGCCGCCCGAGATGCACCTCGTGGCCTCGGAGGAGCTCAAGGAACCCCCATCGCATTTCCACCCTGTGGCCACCAGCGGCCCGGTCCTTTCAGGTCAGCTTCTGTGAAACTGCCCCGAATTCCTGTGCCAGTTTGGAGCTGGGAAGTGCAGGTTTCTGGCACGAGGTGGACAGAGGATGACTTGTGCGTACTGGGGAGGACTCAGTAACTCTGAGAAGGCCGTGCTCCTCCTGCGGCCCCCAACAGGAGGCCTCTGGGGGCGTCTGCCCACGTTCTGCAGCCTGGCTCCCCGGAAATTCTGCCGCCATTTGCCCAATGTGCCGATGAAGCAGGGTGGCTCGCATCAGCTTAGGCCAGAAGGTCAGCCGCCCCCACGCTGCCCAGGGGGGCCCAGCCAAGCTGTCCCTGCTCTTCTCCCCTCTTGCCTGAATCCTGCCATGCGTTTCCTGAGCTGCCTCTGAAGAGGGTGCGGGCCCTTTGGTGGGTCGAAAGCAGCGCTTTGAGGCTCTTAACGGGGACTGGCCAATGCATGGAGCAGAGGCGGAGGCGGAGGAGGGAGGGGGAGAGAGGGAGACCCCACCATTTGGGTGGAGGGCACGGTTGCAGATGGAGGGGATACTGTATCTCTGCTGGAGCTCTTGTGGGTTTGAGTGCAGAGAACTCGCTGGCCCGTGGTCAGCTATCACATAACGGTGAAGATGCGGCGGTTTTGGCCCTTATCTGCTCTCCACTGCA